AAAACTGGTAAAATGTACCAACAATCACATTTAAAAACAATATACACTTGTTGATATACCATTAAAAAAATTAAAAATAAATAAAATAAAAAAAAGAGGTAGCCCATCTGAAATAGGACATTTAGGCTATCCATCTAATAGTAGCCTACCAAAATCTTATTAACAGTAGAAGTTAAATCTTACTGTAGTCTTCAAATCTGGGTAGTGTCTTACGTTTTAAAATCACAAAGGGAGTTTGGTCCCATCAGGCTAACGTGACAGTCACGACTCATGCAGCTGTAAAGTTTTCTTTTTCCTTTGTTTTTACTCGCGATCTTTACAACACGCATTACATTACGTATTTCATGGCACACTCGTTTTATGCGTATTTGGCGCCACCTATTGTTGTGGGTGTATTATTGACATGTCAAAGTCTAGACCCTGAATATAAGACGACCGTGTTTTTTCAGATGTATTTCCAAGAAAAAAACATCGTCTTATATTCGGGTCGATACGGTACTTAGGCTACATGAGGAAAAATGCATTGCTGGTTGGCGCCACGTAGCATGCAGGCGTGAATTAGTGAAAGCAACATTCGTCGGCAATTTGCATCACGCTCAGTGCGAAACGGCCTTTAGAGAAGATACAGACCCAAGATGCATTGGAGTCTCCATTTCTAAATCATACCAGCATGAGTGACGGCCAACAGCTGACAGTCTGACGACTCTGGGCGATCAATTACTGCGATCTGAACGATGGGTTTGAACACGGAGCGGTCGATCGTCCTGAAAAACAGGCAAAGACATGCATTTGAGGTGAAAAATGCATTACACAGGAAAACTTAACATGAAAAGCAGGATTGCACAACATAATGGTGACCATATCTGTGACTTTTTAAAATGCATTTTCATTTTTGTTAAAGATTACATTTTTATTCATAACAAAATGTTTAGTTTTTAAAAAATTATGTTATAATAAATATTAATATAATCTAATTATTATAAATAATTAAGAAAAATTAGGAGTGCATGCAACATACTGGTGACCAAGTATTATTATTTTTTTATTAATTTCACATTTATTAAACATGATAAATGAATTATTAATAATAATGTAAAACTTTTACAATATTTATATGTAAAGTTTTTTATATTTTTAAAATGAAATATTAGTAATAATATAATTTTTATTAAGAAAAACTAGGAGCGCACAGTATATTGGTGACCATTTTAATTCATTTTGAATTTAATGATAACGATACATTTATTATTAATAAATTATTTTCATAAAATAATGTTAATAATAATAATAATATTTAATAATGAATATAATTGTTTTTATTAAGTAAACCCAGTAGTGCACAATAAGTTGATCATTTAAATTAATTTTGCATTTATTAAAAATAATGATACATGTTTATTAATATAATTTTATTTAAATAATATAATTCGGTTTTTTTTACAAATTAAGAAAAACAATATATTGGTGACCATATTGGCACTGACCAATATTAGCATTTTCTAATTAATTTTACATTTAAAATAATGATAAATATTATTTTATTATTAATAATAACAGCACATTTATTATTAACAATTGTGTATAATAATATAACGCAATTATTAAATTTAAATTAATTTTACATGTATTAAATAATGATTTTATTATAAAATAAACAACAATACTATTATTAATAATGATATTTTAATTTAAAATTATATTTAAAAAATGCCAAATAAAAGCAAATGAATACTTATTTATAATAATTTATATTTACAATAATTTAATCAAAAATAACACATTAATCCCTTTGAGTATTTTTGATTGTAATATTATAATGGTTAATCAGCTATCTATTTATCAGCCAAAATCTATTTTCTGTAAGTGCACAGAAAACACAGGTGAAGCTCTACCTGGCGATGTTTCCAGCCGCTGAGACGATGGAGCTCTGAGACATGGCAGCGACTCGACTCATTCCCTGCCCATCAGCGCCGAGATCATACACCTGACAAGACACAAAAATCACATTAAAACCAATCAAAAATTACAAACACCCCAGTCTCTGGTTCACTGTCAAGACACCCACCTGCAGGACGCCCTTCTCCGAACGCGTGTATAAAATGTTCCTTGAATTATCAACAGCAATTTGGACAACGGGATCTGAAACAAACCACAAGATTTAAAGTGAAACATTCAGTTTGGCTTACAAAATAGAGGTGGGCGATATATATCGTCTGCGATAATATCGTAATTGTTGTTTTAACGTTGTACGATTTGACATTTGTATTTTGTAATTATGTTTGTATGAGTATTTTGCAAAAAACATTCAAAACCTCTACAGAGTGCATGCATTAAGTGAAGTCTAGACTATTGCGAGTATTTAGAGTGCGTTCTTTCACTGCATGATTCAGTCTATTAAAATACATTTACAAATTCAAGATATGGGGGCAGAAAATGTGTATATTTATACCACTTCATACAGCTAATCAATTTCACACAAAGAGTTCTGTTTTTCTCCAAATATTACCATGATTACAAACCTGACATTGATTTTTTACAACAGTTCAATAATTAAGAAGTTAATTTACGTAGACTTAGGTTTTAGACACCACATTGCCTGTTTTTGCACTATTTCGCCAACAAAAAATCATTCCAAACACAGCCACAGCACAGTTTTGTGTCTCTGAGCAACATGACGGTGTTTCGTTCCTGAATGAATCAACCGTTTAAACGATTCGGTTCAATCGCAATGACTCACGTATTAACAGTGACTTGCTGCCACCTACTGGCGGCTTTAATTTCACATTCAAAGTATCTTTTATTATATAAATAATTTTAAATATCAGTATTCAACGTTTTATGTTTAATATATCAAAACATTATTTATGCATTTGTAACTGCAGGTTAAATGCATTCATGTCCTGCATTAAACAGTGTGTAAACACATCTAAATGCCACTTCAGATGCAGCTTCCGTGTTGATTTCATTTGCTTGGTAACAGACCAGATGTCTTATTCTAATCGACTGATTAAATGTAAGAATTAGATTCAAAAGATGATGCACACTTTTAGAAAAAATGGCTTTATAAACGGTAAAAACACCCATAAAAGGTAAAAATCAATTCAAACTTATTGAAAAAGATTAATTTCTATCACTATCACACAGAATATGAAGAATATCAAAAACTTTAGGTGTCAGCGGTCCACGATAGTCCTTAAGATACCAGCACAATAACACACTCAGCAAAATATCGTCT